TGTTTAATATTGTATTCCCTAGATCGGTCCCAGAAGTCCGTCACCGAAACCTTTGTAAAGAAGACTGTGTCCATGAGAGGAGTCGCTATTAAACTCCAGTTCAGGGTTAGCGAAAAATCTGAGACTATGACTGGGTACGACGTTTTAAACCCAACATCAGGACCTCATCAAAAGCTGCGTAGAGCCTCTAAAATTTTTCACTGCTGTCTTAAAAATACCTGCCAACGGTTGCTTAACAGGAAGAGTACCGTATCTTAGCACGTAGACAATCTTCGAATCCCTACCCTCCTTTTAAACATCACTATTTCATAGCTTAACTTTTCCATTTTTATCGTTTTCAAGTTCTGTGTTACAGTATCCCAAATGGAACTGAATTCATTAATCTGTTATTATAAAATTTCCAAAATTTACCGATTATCGTGCTCAAGCCACTCTGCACCACAGGCCAACCGACTCCATGGAATGTGGCAAGCAATCGCTTCGACGATCGATCTTTTGCTGATTTTCTCAACGGTTTATTGATTGATTGACTACTGCCGCTGCTACCAGATTCGACCGAATCCGCTTCGTCCTGCAAAAAATATGCATTTGAATCCAGCGGAAGCGCATATGAAGCAAACACCACTAATTACAGTGTGCTAGACTTCGCAAAAAGAATCGATATATCGATCGAGCACGACCGTACCTTATGGTGATCGTCCTCAGCAGCGTGAGCGAAGTAGTGGTAACAGACATGGGCTGAGTAGTCAACTGAGAATCCAACTGACATCAGAATACTGATCAATGACACAGCATCCAGACAGACTCCCCATAAGTGTAGATACGCGACGATGCCTAAAAAGCACAAGATCAGGAATCGATTATTGATTAATTAGTGTTAAAAGATAAAGGGTATCGATTCAACAATGTACCTAGGCAAATCGACACAATCGATACGACCACAGAGATGATCGCTTCCCAGTTCATCACGAACAGGAGCACCAGTATGGACATCAAGATCACTGCTGACACTGAAATCAGAGAATCAGTCGAGGTTTATAAGTTTAGTAGAAAAAATTATGGAGAATTCACAAGTACAGTTATATCCGAATATCACGTGCTAAACCGGATACCCAGGTTAGTTTCTCCACATCGCGGTACGAGACTAGTGCGGGTACTTAATGACAGTGCCCACCGAGGTCTCGATATCGTAATCCCGAGGTCGCTACCGTACCTTTTTGTCAACTGAGTAATTTTTAATAATGTTCCAATTAGTACCAGCAGTCTGGAGGAAGTTCTTCGGCACTTTTTCGAACGGATGATGGGAAAGCACGTGGAAGGACGGGTAGCTGGCAAGGAGATCACGCCTAAAAAACAAAATAATTGCTAAAAAATAGGAAATTGCTCAAAGGGGGGGGGGGATGAAAATTACTGATTGAATTAATTTGGAACATTTAAAGAACATATTGGATCGCTAATTCAATGTAATATGACAGGTCTTTTCTTCAGCATAATGTGGCAAAAAAGTCCAAAATTTGACGTGTGTTCTTCTTCTTAGTCGCAGATATTTTTGAAATAACTGATTTATGCATCCATTGCCAAACAAAATTTCATATTTTGAGCTCGTTTTATAATATATTTTATATTTAGACAAAAATCGGTCAAAAACAAAAGCAAAACTGAACGCGCATACGGCATCACTCCTGCCCAAAATGCGAAAGAGAATTCATGTTGCGGTAGTCGATCATGAAGTAGAAACCATCCATTACTTCTACACCGTCTTTGTTTTTCCTGCAATTTTTCAAAATTACATTATACCGATTCGACAGATATTTTGAATGCAGTAAGAGGAGACGAAAATAAAAGGAAGAGTCGAAAGGAAATGAAAGATAAGGGAAGAATTTGATGAATGAGGAGATTGGAATGAAATGAGACCCGCAGAGAAAAAGAATGAGGGTTAGGTACATAGGAAGAAAAAGGGTACAGAGAGAAGGAAATGTAGAGGGAGAAGAGAGAGGGAAGCACCGAGCAAGCCAGGAATGAGGAACGAAATGAGGGAGAATCGACTAAAGTCCAATGTCAAGAAGAAGGTGAGAATCACGAATGAAGGAAGAAAAGCTGGAAGGCCTCAGCAAAAAACATTTCAAGTTAACTGACAACCTTTGGTGAGGAATAGTATTTCTCTTCCATTCCATAGTCACGATAGTTTTTCACAGAAGAATTTCCGGTGACCAGAAATCTTCTTCCTCCTCCCAAAATTGAATCGTCTGAAATCAGAAAGGTCTATTAAAATTGTTTTCCCCTATCATTTCATTATTTTTTGAAGGCTGGCCGTATTATGGTTGATGGAAGGGCATAATGTCTTGATTTGTATATCTCAATATTTCAAGCAATTGTTGAAGGAACTCACTCTATTGTAATCTCTGAGCCAAAATACGGTCGCTTCAGGTCCCCAGCCGTATTTCGGTAGAGTTTCGAGTTTCTCGACCATTTCGTTGAATCGTTCGCGAATGTTTTCATCAGAGAAGTCGGGCATCGGTCTGACGGCGAAGCTCCACGCACGAAGGATTCGCTGCAGAACGAAGTCCTAAATATTGTATGTTTGAGATTGGCTAAAAAAATTGATTTCTATCCACTCAACTCTAATAAAATTAAATAAATACCAAATCCATGTTTGCATGGAGTCATAAGCCCACCTGCATTTGTCGCGAAATTTCTGTCAGAGGCGATCCTTCGAGGTAGAGATTCTCCATGTTGAAGTCGGTGCTTACCTCAGTGGCCAGGTAAGTGCTTACCTAAATCAGCAAACGAATATTAAAAGAGCTGAAAACCCCCCGCTAAACCCACTATGTAATCATATCATTTTAAGAGCAGGAAATATTCGCTCAAGGAAGTTCTAAGAAAGTCAAGCAATCAGAAAGTAGATTTCAAATAACCAATGCAATGACTGTACAAAAATACTGACCCCAACGTGAGCGAAGAAGATGAACATCACTAATGCCTTAGCGGTTTTTGTCTGAAGAAAATCGACGAAGACCTCAAGACGACTCTTTTTGGGCTTAATCTCTCGAACTGGTGATGTGAACGAGGGGAGCATGAGATCGAAAACACCATCGGTCTCGCCCAGCTTCGCTTTCATATGGTCGTCTATTGAAGTGATCGACGGGTTTCCGTCCTGAAATTGATGACCTTGAGTGAATTAATCGAGCTCAACAGACTTTTAACCACTATGGCTGGCACTATGGGTGTCTTTCAGTTTCATTATGCTTCAATTACTACCCTCCAAATCCAGCGGCTTAAATTGAACCCCAGAAACCGAAATCACCTGAATTTTTCGATCTCTGGCTTTCTCGTCATGATTGATCTGTCGACGAACGATGAAGCTCATCATAGCGGAGAAAAACGTCAACTAAATGTGGATCTTCAGAGAATCTCATAATCATAAGCGATTAAACGAAAATGGTGACTGGGACTCGTCCACTACCTCACCTGTAGACAACAATCCATGACCACAGTAGCTACGTAAAGTTGAACACAGGCAGAACAACCGCTACCACAGGCATGGTTGGCAAATAGACCGATAGCAAAAGGCAACAGTAAACATCTGAAAAAGATCGTTTTAATTACCCTTTCCGGCAGAACCCTGGTTCAGGCGATTTTTTTGTTTATTTTTATTGTTCAGGGCAAGGAGGAAACGAGAACGTGACCAATTCAAAATTGCCCTGAGGCCATGGATAACGGTGGAGATCAAATGTTTCTCCGTTAGCAAAAAACAACGCGCAACCGATAAAATGTCTTCCAAAACATTTCGTTGGTCAGCATTCCCCAAGCGTTTCCTGCCGATCCCCGGGCCGTCACGATGGCGTCCGTCATCGGTTAAGCCGTCTTTATGAATCCAGCCGCTCTGTTCGCTGCCAAATCCTCTTATTCATGGCTAGAAATCGCGTGCATATGGTCGAAAGAGTATTTTATAGAGCAATCTTCGGATCAATAATCGATTATTTCTTAGCGCAAGATTATGAAGTAGCCGGATATTTCTGCTGGATTTGGAACAATGATGGTTCCGGAAGAATGGTTCTCTTCTACTGACAATGAAGCAAGCGAAAACGCACGTGGCGTCGGCCCCTGCCAACCCTTGGAGCGCGCCACGCACGTTAATTCCGATCAAAGTCTCTGGTGGCATTTTGGATTTGTACCGCAGCAACCATATGAGTATGAAATAACGCAGGCTATATAATATGCTGAGTGAGGTAATAATTTCAAGTCTTGCTCACTGAACGGACCCCCGCAAAAAAAACACCATAATATCCTCAATCTTGCTCATAATATGGAACATCTAATCAAGTTTCGCTGTCGCCGAAAATGAATCTATGGCTTATGATTTCCATAGAACCGGTTAATCACAATGTCCCGAGCCTGTTTTCATGTTTTCATGACTATGCCAGGAAATGGGAATAACTGAGAAATAGTCTCGAAAAATTTTGTTTTGGCTGTTGATGGCCCGTCGCGTTGAAATGAATAGAACAGTTCCACTTATGTCCGACCGAAGAATGACCTTTTCATCTACAGTATCGCAATCACACGAAAAGTACCAATAAAGATCATCAGTAATTGAAATGTCAAAGTAATCATGACTGTTTGAAAAAAGAAGATTGGTTCCTTACCTGTGACAGAGGTCACGGTCACAGAAGCGCCGGAAATTGAGATTGATTCGGCCATTCGTTGTTCCAAAGAAGCGCCTTTCCTGAAAACCTACTCATCAGATTTAATTCATTGCCCAATTTCGTTGAGACTGCAATTTGCAGAAAACCTCCACCATCTCAAGCTAATAACTGTTAGACCAATTATATAGGACTCATCAAATGACAGCAATATCGATGAAACAATATGTGGCAACTGTCAACGTGGTTGTCTCCCAATCTGGTCAAGATAATCAGGCAGGCGTTATACGAATGCCGATAGTAACCACAAGGAACGGAACGACGGTAAGAATGTTCGAGAAGGGGAATCCGATCCAGAATAGAAAACCGCCGCTAGTCCACAGAGCCATTGCCGGCGAAATCATACCAATCACTGACTGAAAATGCGAAAACGGTCTAGAGAAACATTGAGCATTTCTTAGAATTTAGGCGCTCAATGAGCTTTTTTAATGCCTGAGAAACCGAATGACCCAGGACGCTGAACAGGCAGCTTTTTCTGATAAATCTCTAACTCATACGGTTATTTCCAGGTTAAGCATTTATTGACACTTAGACGTATCAACAACGGCTTTGCCCCCGGCCTTTTCAAAACTGCACTTGTAGGCAGTATTCATCTATCGACGTGGACTAAAAGGAAGACTAAGTGTGGACATAGCATCGTATTGAAAGGGTTTAGGTATGAAGCTATGACTCTCGGAGAATTTCTGCAAAAAGCTGAACTACTTTTCGGTGAGAGCTAGAGAATTCTAGGCTCTTAGCATATTAGCAGATTTTTTCAGGTTTTTTCGGGAATTTCTCGAAGCATTATTCAGCAAATATTTGCTCCTTGCTAGCCAAAACCATTTTGTCTTCTAGTGGCAAGCTCTCCTTGATGAACTGTCAAGTTTGAATAGGTCATTCAGGATCTACCCCCTCCTCCTAGAAATGGCTTCAATCTGAACATAAACCTCTTCCCACATAAGGCGTTCTGAGTTGTTATTTGCTATTGTGCGTGATGAACCACTAACTGTTGACTTGAAAGAAACGTCTTAGTAACCAGTAACTAGTTTTTCTATCAGAGATCACTGCACTACAGTCTGGTACTGATTTAGAATGACCACTGATGCAAAAGGGAACAAGACGCGTGCCTCTGTGCACAAAAAGGTCTACACCATCAAGTTCCCATGAGCCTTTTGCAGTAATAGCGCTCCCTGCCACTGCACTGATAGCTGACAAATGAACGAACGTCACTGCGCTGTAGTGAGAATGAACAACTGTTACAAACTATACCTCCATGAATTGACTTCTGTAGAGTGGAAATTCGATAAGTGTGATGAACATGAATCCGATCAAGACCAAAGCAGTGAGGCCGAGGAATGGTAGAGCAACGATTGTGATGGCCCTGAAAGCAAGGGGGAATGGTTTAATTCATTTCAATTGACAGGAATGAATGATACATATGGGAGGTCAGGCGAAGGAATTTATCTGCTCCCCTATCCAAGGCCTTTCCAAGCCATCACAGGCCAAATTTAGCTTCTTAGGCTCTATTCAAATGCAGCAACCAGAATATTATCTCTTTAGAGACTTCTTCAGAGACGAAACACCTCTGGGAGCACGTTCCCACCCTGATGCAGGTGAAGTTGAACGTCAAAACTGAACGATCTCGTCATGGGATGTGCCACGCACTTTACATCCCTTTATTCAAGGTCCGAGTGGTCTTTTGACTACGATTGGTCCACACAATAAATTACAGGGCCAACCCGTACCCAGACCTGAGCTTTCATCCTTACGAGGCAAATCTTACACGTCCCCAGAGAGATGAAAGGCTTAGTTGGCCTGAGCGGGATTCGATCTAAACCACCGGTCTGTGCTTGCAGTAAGCCGTCCCTCACCACTACGCCAACTTCTCCCTTCAAATACATGAATGCTTGAATATTTTCTGTACCTTTGCTCTGCGATCTCTCTATTTCTGCTCAACATTGAATAAGCGAAGTTTGCTGAGCTCTCAGTCAAAGTGGCAAATACACGGAGTAATTTCTGCTCGTAATTTGCGGCAATTTTCTTTCCATTCGGCAGTGTAGTGTCGACCTGAAAGCGACGTTGAAAAATCACCTTTTATTGTTAAAAAAGTGAGTACAATAGAAGGATTGGCCGCGCTCGGCTGTGATCAGCTTAAGGCCGAATCAGTTTTGGAGCTAGCGAGCAAGCTTCGAACTCATTGGAAACTTCTCTAAAAATGTTGAAAAAAGAAGTTCTGTGAAAGAGCGATATAATTATTAAGGTTCGGCATTTATAAATCATCTCAGGGACGCGCCACGCCTTCTACTTTCCCTCAGATC